ACGATGGTTTTTTTATTGCCCGACTTTAATTCGCCGTATTTCTTTTCCTCCGCGAGGATCAAAGAGAACTCCACGTCGTCTATGCGGCGGTCCCGCAAAGCTTGGGAGACTAAGTTGGCGATGGTGTTAGCCTTTGCTCTTGCTAGGGCTATGTGAGTGTCGTGCTTGGATATCTTGCCGGATAATTGCTTTATGATGCCTGTCGTAACAGCGGAAACAATGCCGCAGACGGCGCCGACGCTAGCCAAGGGAACGCCGACGACTATTCCAGGGCCGGTGAGTGAGGTAGCAACGCCGGTGCCTGTTAACGCCACGGACATGGGGCCGGAAGTTATCGCTATTTTATGTAGCATGCTTCGGGCTCTGGCGTACTTTTTTCTAACCTCTTCGTAGTGTTTCGCTTGCCCTTCCAAGTAAGCCAGGATTAAGTTCGCCTTGTTTAAACGAAAGTTCTCGGCATTTAATTCATTGGGGCCTTCCTTAGGAAGTTCAGGATAAAGTGGAGGTGCTGATGGTATAACATCCATTATATATACTAATGTACGACGCCTTTGAGAATGATATTGAGGAGCAGCCACATCATGACAACAGGGATTACTGGAACTGGAGGGCCTTTAGGAAGATGTTTCCGCACGCGGATGCTAGTAAGTTCGAAAGGAGACCCGATGGGATTTACTATAACGGCTCCAGAATGTACAGCAATGCGGACTTGGAACATTCAAAGCTGGAGCGAGTAGGTGATCAGGTGCAGCATTTAACTATTGTACGCCCCGCTCACGAAGAAAGGCCACCAAAGCCCGTGCAAGGTTGGTCAAAGGAATTATTGCTGGGTACCAGTACTTATCCAATACCCGCGGTTTCATTTGATGAACACCCAAGTTTGGATTTGACATTAAAAATGCGGGTCTCTAACAAGCATTCCTTTCCGTTAAAGGTGCGAGATATCTTCAAAAACGTTCCCATTAATCATACCACCGCTAAGGAAGCCCACGAATGGTTAAGTGGTCCTAACATGCGTTATTGGCCACAACAATTGAACTTTGCAGTTTGGTGCGCCACCAGCGGCTGCGGTGTAAGCGCAAACTTGATGAAGAATTCGATATTTATGTTTCACTTTCACTTCACGGTTAGAAGAATACTGCATGAGATGGGTGTTATTGCATTACCGGGAGATGCCACGTTTTATCCAAGAGATAATAAATACAACGTGCCGGCTTATAACAGACTTTGTAAGGAGTTTGGCGTTGTAGGGAAGGATTTCCGATGCACTGCCGGCGCTAACAATGGTTTGGGGCACATTTGGGCTTATTGGGGGATTGGTGG